ATTTATCTCAGTCAACATCTGCCCCAGGAGGTTTTCGTGCTTCCTACACCCTAGTTGAGAATATGAGGTAAGCACCTCTCCTTTGTATTCCAGTCTCCCCTACTTCTGGCTTTCAGCCGCATTAGACCACTGGGGATACCAACAGGAAATGAGAGAGAGGAAGAAGAATGAGGTCATGTTATTGATTCCCAGCTTCTTCTCTGCTTGGTCACTGCAGGTTGACTGTGTCCTCTATCCATTGCCACAGCTCTTGTCAGGCAGCTCTCTCCACACAGCTCTGCCTCTGGTTGCAAAGCGTTCTCTCTCCCTTTTCCTCTTCAGGCAGAAGAGTGTTTATGATGCTTCCTCACAGTTTCTGGGCCCAGAGTACCATGGTGCTTTTCCTATACCTTGTCCACATCTGCGTAAACAGTCCCTTTTTTAACTCCCAATTGCCCATCTTGAGGTGCCCTGTGTTTCCTGCCAGGACACTACATGAACATAGCTGATCCCATCTGGGGTCCATGAGCCTGCATAGCTGTGCTGGCTGGACCTTCACAGGCCCCAGGCCCTCAGACCTTAAGAAAAGCAAAACCTCCCTAATGGGGCTTCAGAAGAATTTTCAAATAAAGTCCAGTGTGACTTCCCCATTACTGTGTGATACCCAGTCTCTTTCCTGGATCTTACACCTAGGAAACTGAATCAGCCTCATATCCTCAGCCTTCAGCTCATAATTATGTCCTAACACAACTGCTTTACGAACTCACTTCTAAGCTCATGGCTTCTTCCTGCTTCTTTAAGTGTTTTTCTCTTCATGTGCTTTCCCTCACACATCCCTCCTGTTACCTCAGCCTTTTTCTGCGCTCTTCCTAGAATATTCTTTCTCCCTTCTTCAGCAGAGGCCCCACTCTCATGTTATCTCCTCACAGCTAGAGGAAAGATTTCCTCTTTCAAGTGACTGGCTTCTACTTCTCCAGTGGCACTCTCCAAACTCCATCTGCACCGAGCTGTAGAATTTGTAAAATACTTTCTCTCTCCACAAGATGATAAATTCAAACTCCCTCTGAACTGGGCTTCAGATCCAAACACAGCGCCTTACAGCTTATCTGTGCTCAAGAGTATGTGTGGGAGGGCTGGGTGGTTGACAGATGAACATGAGGATATTCTTTATTGCTTTACTCTTCCTGCTGTGGTGTTTCTGAACTTTAAGGTGTCTGTCTGGTATTATTTCTTTCTTATTCACCAACTTCCTGTTAACATGAACACCTTCAAAATTCATCTTTTATTAACAACTATTTTCAATGCTTGGTACACAAAAGAAATACAATTACTATACAAACATTTGCATTAGCATTCTGAAATACTTTTATGCTGATAAATATGGTAACAGTTTGGGTTCCAATCACATTAAAGAATTCAGTTTAATATTCTATAGTTTTTTCAGCCAACTGATAATTAAAGAAAGGAAAGATCCATCTTGGTAGAGAATATGTTAGCCAAATTGCCATGCTTTAAATAAAATAATATGCTAATTGGCAAGTGAGAAAATATTTAAATATCCTGTATGCATTATATGCATGCAAGGTAGTTTTAGACACAAGCTCCTTCCTTCATGGTCTCATTGCACATTGTATTTTTCAAATGAAATATGATCATGTTTAGAAAGAATTAGTTCCATGTTTTATCCATGAAGAGACTGTGACATCATATGAGAATTATTGCTAACAAGGATGTGCTATGGGCAATAGGCCTATTAAAATGACACATGGTCAATCATGCGTGTGCTAGACATAATTGCAAAAAAAAGTTAAGACATGAGATAGCAGCTGGAAAAAAATTTTAAGTCTTTCTCTTTTTTTTTTTTTTTTTTTGCCTCTTAGAACTATTTTTAAATTAATCCTACAGCTACAAATAATCTGGCTTTCACAGAATTATCTAAAGCTAACTCTGATGCCTGAATTAGGGCCCTCACATGTAGCTACATTAAAGTTCTGCTAACATTTCTTTCCTAAAACCCTTTACATGGACTTTTCTCCTGAGGTTAATTTTTCTCTAGGCTACAATGAAAAGTCCTTGCTTAGCAGAATTTCTCTACAGTCCTTTTTCCTTTGTTCTCAAATAAGCCTATCATTTTGTGTGGAGTCCCCTCACTGTCATTACAGGCATGTGGGTATGTGGCTATAATACTCCATCCCCACCTTCTCTCAAACAATCCTTTCAACTACTTTGCCAAGCGCTCCTCACAAACTTTTGACACATACTCTTCAGTTGAAGGATTTGGATCTGCCTTGAGGAGAAATAAGTGTAGCTAATCTCCTGTCTCAGATCCAGAGGACCCACGTGTGTACATATTACCTGTATCAATCATGATTTCAAATCAGCTCCAGTCGCATGGTTATTTTCAAATGTTTCTTTGAATAAATATGGAAAACTAAAACAGGAAAAATGTACTGTTAGTACATAGCATTGCATTAGATCATCTTTCTGTGAAAACCATGGAAAAAAGCTATGTGATTACAAACTGTGAAGTAAAGTCTTTAATAAAAGTAGTAGCAGAGTAGAGGAAGTACTTTGCCACTTACCTAGTGTCCTTACATAAATTTTTTCATTTTGATTTTTGATCTCTCAGCATCCTTGTTAAGCAGGAGAAAGCTATCATTATTTCCTCATTGCTGATCAGAAAACTGCAGTTGAGAGGACTCAAATCTAACTCTTCTGAAATTTAATTCAAAATCCTTGAACATTACATTTAGATTAGCATTTTTTTTTCCTAATTTGAAAGCATGAGAAATGGGTGTTAAAATTTTATTAAATCTAATTTTGGCGTGGGCTTTTTGTTGTTGCTGGGGTTTTTTTGTTTCCTGTTTTCTCCTCTTGGCTCTCCCTTGGACCTTTCCTTCCTCTCCCCACACTGGCAGCCATGGTCTTCATTCATGGCTCAACAGCACAGCACACTGTTAGTAAACACTCATTGAACACACAGCTCAAGCAGGCAGACATCGCGTGAAGCTGCTCCTGCTCTCGCAAAGCAGGGCACCTGGAAGAGACATGGAGTCCTAGGTGCTTTCCCTGAGGGAACTGCAGATTGTAGAGGCCGCCCAAAGCAAGTTCCTTGTTTATGGAAAATTTAAAGTCGCAAAGAGCGTTACTGGTTTTAAGAATGGTCTAAGTCAGCCCTGACCACCGTGGCTCAGTTGGTTGGCTGTCATCCCACAAAGCAAAAAATCAGGGCACAGGTTGTGGGTTGTTCCCTGGTGGAGGCACGCAGAAGAAGCAACCGATGTTTCTCTCCCTTTCTTTCTTCCTCCCTTCCCTTCTCTCTAAATAAATAAATAAATGAAAAAGAATTGTCCAAGTCAGATGATTCTTGGTAAAACAAAGCAAAACACTGAAATCACTTCCTTGATTCGATTGTCAATACCTCTTGAGCTCTTGCTTTCCCCATCCTCTATCATGCACAATACTAACCACCATGAAGTTTCTCAGAAGATGGGCGACACTTCTCAACACTGATGTCTCAAGATCAAATGTCACCCTGAATGTCCAAGCTCTTTTCTGACCACTTAAATGCATGTGCACCAACCCCAAGTCACTCATTCTCTATTCTATTTTTATCATAGCCCCATCATTATCTAACAATATATTTGATATATATTTTCTGTGTTTTAGACAATATGGGGCTGATAATGGAACATCCAACTGGGATGTTCCTTGTCTAATAAGTTACTAGACAAGGGGAAAAAAAAGCCCAACCATCCTCATTGGAACTTGGTAAACCTACACATTTCATTGTTCTTAGCTTGAAAATGCAGTCAAAGTGGACAAATCCTCTTCCGAGATACTTTATATGACCTACATTAGAAAAGAGAAATGGTAGACTAAGAAGGCTAAGTTGTGTTCCTATGGTAAAACAGGCACTGTCCCAATTCCCAAGTGATAGGAAAAAATTTTATCACTTTCAAGGTGCTGTGAAAATTGAACATAATAAATATTGTCATACTCCACAGAAATCAAGATGCATTTATATAAACTTAAAGAGTGAATTTTATGTAATTGGTTAAAGAAATGAAATTCTTCAGTTTGACATCTAAACTTCTGAAAATGGGAACAGTTCTTCTAATTCTATGATTATGTGTAATCATAAACACTCTACTTCAATGTCAAATTAATCCACTCATTCAACAAATACTTACAAATTCCCTGTTATTTGCCAGGCACAGTATTAGATGCCTGGTGTTACAACAGTGAACAAAGCAAGACACACGGCCCTCACAGAGCTTTTGGTTGAACAGGAAAGGAAGATATTAATCAGATAAAAACCAATAACAATCTACAGATGATGATGCCTGATATAAAAGAAACATGCCAGATGCTATGAGAACATATAACAGGCAAAGCCACTCTGGTCTGGGTTTAGAGAAGGTCTACCAAAGGAAGCAACATTGGAGTTGAAACATGCATGATTAGTTGTTGACTAGGTGAAGATGGGAATATGGAGAGTGAAGAGAGTATGTGTGTTCCAGAGAGTGGAAATAGCATGTTCAAAAGAACTGGGTAAATTTGCCTTGCAGCTGTTATGGCTTTAGGAAAACATGTCTTTTGGAGCACTATATTGACTTTTGCTGCCAAATAGCTAAATATACTTGGTTTGTGATTATTTATGAAGTTATATTTCTAAGCAGTTCATGTGAACAGAATATCATGAAGCAAAGGAATTAAGAAGCACAGAAAAGCTGGCTAGCTGGGTGAGGCTTAGAAACTGCTAACCAGATGCTCTTTTTTGTGAGATGTATTTCTTTTGAAAACCTTTATGAGGTCTTTCAACACTTTCCCATCATCATATCTAAACTGCACATTCTTTTAGGGACAAAAGGGGAGAGGTTAACCAAATTCATAATTTATTAGCCTACTTTCCAAACATGCTTACCGGGTTCTAGTTCACTGGACGATCCTGACTTTTGATCACTTGCCAAATAAATAATGGAAAATAAATGGCTTGATCATTCTGTTACCATCAACAGTTGTAAATCAAGATGGCCAGCCTCTCATAGAAGGAAAACTTAAAGAGAAGCAAGTCAGATGGAAGTTCATCAAAAGGTGGAAAACCCGTTATTTCACACTGGCTGGAAATCAACTTCTGTTTCAAAAAGGAAAGTCTGTAAGTTCCTCTGTTGTATATTACACTTGCATTTTTAAGGTCTTGATTGGCACCAACCAGCTAGGGAGACATTTTGTCTTGAGTTGAAATACCAATATATTTTTCCTTCTCCGTTTTACAATTTTACAGTGTTATTTTATTACCCATGTTCCTTTCACTGTCTATTCTGTTCAGTTCTATGTTAGCTGGTTCACTACCCCTCTCAAGTTTATTATGGGAGCTGTTTTTGTTGACTTACATTTTAGAAGATCAACTACTCTTGACTGAAACACTGTGCCTTTTGTTTCCTCGTGGATTGCCTACATAGATTTATGGCTCATCATATTGACCATGATTTCTTTTAAAACTACAGATTATATTTCAATGTGGGGACCTAAGGAAGGGGGAGCATAGGCAGGGAGGAAAAAATAAAGGCCGATTTATTATAAGTAACTTTTGAAATCAACAAGTTCAATATGATTAGGAAAAATAAGATTACTATCTTTCATTCATGTAACATGCAGTTAATGAGTAAAATGAAATTCTAAAATAATTAATAAATATGTAACAGAATTTCCAATCTGAACTAGGATGCTCAGTAAACATCTGTATTCTGAATTTTCAATGGGAAGCCTATCTCCCATTCACAACGTAAAGTTATCCCCTTCTTTTCAAAGCAGTTTTATTTATCATTAAACTCCACTCATGCAGGATCAGGGGAAATGAAATCTTGACCTACTTCTTGGCTATTTGGACATATAATGATAATAGCTCATCAGTGCTTATCACATGCCACACTGGATTGCCACTAACAACCCTTCGAGGTCAGCACTATGATCATTGCCATTTTATAGATGAGGAAACAAGGCTCAAAGAGACTGATTGGCTTGACCAAAGAGAGAGCCAGTAAGATAGGGTAACACTGGAGTCAGGCTTGGGCAGTAAGCATGACACCAAAGCCTGTCCACAGCCCTGTTTCTCGTGCACACTAACTGCAGAGCCAGTGGCCAGCCAAACTGTGTCTGAATTAATTAATGAAAGGTATTAAATTACTTAAAAATATGATGCACTGAGAACATACGTATGCATTATATCTTTAGATTGTGCATTATAAAATTTATTTGCATTTATTACCCAGCAGAAATCAAGAGTGATGGATCTGAATTTGACAAATTCTGATCAGTGCTATTTTAATCAATAAAACTTTATGTTTACTTTTTGAATGGAAAAAAAAAAGAGACCTGGATGATGCCTACTCTGAATTCATGTTACTTTCCTCATCTGTGTGTATTATAAAATATACAGATGGATTTTTGTGTGGCTGAAGATCTTTTAAAAAGGGAAGTGTAATGGTGTGTTCCATTTAGACAGTTACTCAAGGTTTTAAGAAACATTTTTTAGCATAGGTTCACATTGAAACTCTTAAAGTATTAAAAAAAGGGCCATCTGAATTTCCTGTTTTTAGTAAAGGAATCAGAAATAGAAACTAAGAAGTAGTGATTTCTTAGATCCCTTGAGACAAAGCAGAGTCAGTATAAAAGAGTGTTTTTCCTGAACTTAAATAATGACCTTTAATACTTCTTGACTCAGAGCTTTTTAATAAAGTTTAGAGAATAAGCTATTTTATAATTGGCTGACTTGTTTGACATCTTTATCGGGAAATAATGGTTTGACATTCCCGAAATCTGACGAAACATATGGCTCAAATATTGGGAAATAGTATAATGGAGTACGAGGACCACAGCAAAATCGCCCTGATCCCCAGGCACACAGTAACCTAGCAGTGATTAGCAGTCTAGCCAAAGCTTCAGCCACATCGTAAAGGGCCTTTCTTGTAAATGAGAAAAATGTGCACTTTAAAATAAAAACTAAAAGACTATAGTGCTATTTCTACTGTTAAGAATACTGTTGCATTCTTAAGGTCTTAATCTCTACCAACCAGCCAAGCAACGGTGTCCTCTGACTTCCTGTCCTTCTCTGTCTTGGTCAATTCACTGTCCCTTCTTAGATAACTAAGGTCATGTTTCTTTCTTGATCAGTTCTTTCATGTATCAATTTCTGTATTATAAACTAATCCAAAAAAATACAGTTTTATTACTGTCAGATTCTATGAACCAAAGTAAGCTGACAAAGTATTGTCTAACACAGATATATGCAAGCTTTATCCTATATATCCCCTAAAAGAATTTAGAAAGATCTATATTACCCATAGCATTTTAAGTTGTAGCAATACTTTTATCATAAGTTTAAACAGTTGCACAAACTGCAATTTCTGTTGAACTATAAATATTGTCATTTTAAAATAAAAAGATTTCATGTTTCCTTTAAATATAACCATTGAAATAAAATACCATAGCAATTTGACATCTAACACTGTCCACTTAAAAAATTATATAAATTAGTTCTTCTAAGTAGAAATGTTTACATTGTTTCATTTTTCCTTAAAATCATATTTTTATTCTACCTCTCCCACAGCATTTCATTGTAATCACCCTATCATTTTTAACTGCAATGAAACTATGTATATAAATTGAAATTTAAATTTCTTGTGACCATCAGTCTCCAAATGTTAAGATTTTTTATTTTTCTTTTAAAAATATTATATCATTTAGAAAAAGCCATAATGCCAAATGTATTATTATATTAGTAGTTATTAAACATAAAAAAATGAAATGCTGTTAAAAATAGATGAGAAGTAAGTATGTTACCTTGTTTAAAGGATGCTTCCCTGGCATCAATATTCTGAATTGCTTTTAATTGTTTGTTTCTTGCTCTTGTAATATTTCCAAGTTGTATAATACACCATAGAAAGTTTAGGATGAGTGAGACTGGTGTCTTTTCATTGCAAGGTGAAAGAAGGGTAATTGTATAGAAGAGGTGAGAAAGGGGAATTAACAAGATCCTCAACCACAGGTACATTCTCCAGCAGGCAAAATGTTTCCAGGGATGTTTAAGACCCGAAATTGCTTAAAAGAATTACCTGACCCCTGAACACTATTTATGCTAGCCAGTTGTGATGACCTGTGTTGTAGAGATCCTTAAGCCTCTGCTTTGATGCAAGAAAAATGTAAGTCATTAAATATCCCTTCACTTACATTTGTAGACAAATCATGCTTCCAAAGTTCCACAGAGTTTCAAAAACAGTTTGATCTACTTAAACATTGAAATGCTTTTTATTCAATTAAAATCTTTCTCAGAGATAGCACAGAGTAAAATTAAATTTCATTGCCTTCCAAATTATCTCATTCTAACAGTACTCCAAATTGTACTGTTGCATTTTTCTCTATTAATGTAGTGTTAATATCAATAGAAAATGACATAAAGTCAAAGAAATATGAATTAAACATTTTCCCAATCCCACTGTATAATTTTTATAAATTGCCTATCTTGCGCAAATTTATGATACAATATCAAAGGGCCAAATGCTCCCTCATTCATTTTTCTAATGACTCTTTGAGGCATTAGTACCCAAAATAACAAAGTTCTTGAGCCATATGAAGTGAAAGGATTCTGATCCTCCTGGAAAATTCTCCAATAGCCAGAGATCTTTTCATACTCTGGGAGCCAGCTCATGTTTTTACTTCCCATATGCATTTCAGAAAGATGATCCTGATGACTCACCAATAGAACTCAGCAAAGTACAGAGCGTGAAAGTTGTGACCAGAAAACGCAGGGACCGCTCTCTCCCTCGGGCTTTTGAAATCTTCACAGACAATAAAACCTATGTTTTCAAGGCCAAGGATGAGAAAAATGCAGAAGAGTGGCTCCAATGCATCAATGTGGCAGTTGCCCAAGCAAAAGAGAGGGAAAGCAGAGAAGTAACCACGTATCTGTAGGGATTTGCAAGCTGACCTCATACCAATTGTATATAATGGCACTGCAGTATCATTGCTAACGTCAAGAAAAAGATATAAATCCACCAACTCGTGTTGTATTTTACTAAATACCAGTGAAAGAGTTTTTCCTCAGAAGCAAGACTCAAACATCGCAGGATTCTTAGTACATTTCATGTCCTAATGGCATTTGCATTGACTCCAGAACATCTGTGTGATGCATACAGTAAGGAAAAGGAGCTACAGATGGGATGGGACCAGAAAGGGGAGAGTCAGGATCTAGGAACTTCTGTAGATGTGTCACTGTACGTCACAAGAAAGCACCTTCTAAAGATACCTACATATGAGGAAAGATTAGCCATTTTCAGTGAAAACCACAGCATCTCAAAAGTGTTAAAAGAAAAAAAAACTATTAGGAGAAGTCAAATTAAGGAAACTGAGGAAAACCATATAACTTACTTATAGACATTATTACGTTTATCCTCTCTTAATGCAAATGCAGCTAACCATAGTAAAATAGTTCTCAAGTTAAGCCAGTTATGTAATGTCTATCTTTCAGAGCTACTTATCTGATTATCTTTTTGATTTATATAATATGATCTAAAGTTTAGATACTTGCATGTATCTCCCATCCACGGCTTTAGGTATAAGCTAGGATAAGCATAGGAAACCATTTTCTCCATCTTCAAAATATGTGCCGCTCCCATTTAAACTTGAATTTTTTTTAGCTCGAGGTTTTAAAATTCTGTACTTTTCTTCCTTGTATTCAACCTTTTAATGCCTCCAAATTACAAACATTTATTGGCTTTTGCCATTACCCACATTTTTTTTAAGAATGAAGCTGTGGTAAGCAGAATTCTAGGATGAATCCTAGGGGCCCACAACCTGGTATAAACTTCTCCCCTTGTGGGTGGGGGAACCTGTAACTTGCTCCTAACTAATAGAATATGGCAAAAGAGATAGACAGGTCGCTTCCCCAATTGTGTTAGATTACACAGCCAAGGCAAAGAGATTTTGCAGATATAATTAAGATCTGTAAACAGTTGGCTTTAAGTTTATCCAAAGGGTAAACCTGACCTGATCAGATAATCCCTTTAAAAGAAGACAAACAAGCCAGAGACTCTCTGCCATTGGCCTTGAGTAAGCAAGCCACTCTGAGATCTGCAGCTTCAAGGAAATGAGTTTTGCCAGCAATCAGTGAGCTTGGAAGAGGATCCTGAGCCTCACAGAAGGGCTCAGACCCGGCCAACACCTTGACTGCAGCTTTATGGAAGACTGAGCTGAGAACCCAGCTGAGCCCTACTTGGACTCCTGACCTGTGGAAAAGTTGGGATAATAAATAAAAGCTTTTTTAAGTTGCTAAGTGTGTGACGCTTTGTTATGTAGCAATAGATAACTAACACAAAAGCTAACTTGGACTATACATAGAGGATAATTTTTTTCCTTGAAATTTATTAATTATGTGATTTAACATAGAAACCGGGAGAAAGACTGCAAGTAATCAATACCCTTAATTCTACTTTGACTACTGCTAACTCACTAGGATAGGAAATATTAAAGAAGCCAATTGAGAAAGGAAACAATTCACCTTTAACATATAACATTTGAGGGCATTTGAGACACTGAAGTTATTACAAGTCAGGAAATAGAGTTCTGGAGGTCAAAATTTAGGCTCATTGGATATATAGATGGTCACTGACCATAGGGAATTAGGTGAAATTACTCAGGATAAATGAGACAAAAGACCTAATAAGGGCTTCCTTGGGACACCCAGCGCTTACACAAAGACAGGGTTGGTGGGCTGATTAGTATTCAGAGATGTCATGGACCAGGGGAAATAATATCACAAGAGCCAAATAAGTAAGGTTTTCAGGATATAAGAGAGATCAACAGTGTGAAATTTTCAAGAGTAATCACTTAATATAAAGGATGACTTTTGCAATTAGGAAGTAATTGGTATCATTGGTAAAAATTTCATTGAAGTGATGAGGTTAAGTCAGATTTCAGTGGGCTGAAAAATTAGTAGGAAGTTAGAAGTTAAAAGCAGTAAGTGGACTATTCTTTCAACAAAAGGGAGAAGATGAAGGGGCTAAGATGGAGAAAGTGTTTTACTCTTTGTTTTAAAGATGAATTAAACTTAAGGGACAAACATTTAAAATACAGAAGGAATAATGAAAAATAACTTTGCTTGAGGAAAGTTTTCTGAAGTGATGAAAAAAGATCAAACTCCCTATGCTGCAGCAATTTATGGAGCAGCTATCAAGCAACAGGTACCATGCTTGGCCTGGAGAGACAAAAACAGAAGACCCAACTCCTCCACTCAAGGAATTCATAGTGTAGTAGAGGAGACTGATGTATCAACAGAAATTAAAATGCATGTGGCAAGTACCTTGATGGAAGTTTGCAGAAACAAGAGAAGGCACCTCTGCAATTGACTTCGAACTCAATGTGGGCTCCCTCCCTGTTTCCCACAGTTGTCAAAAATGAGCTTACCTTAAAGAACATAAGCAGTGTTGCGGGCAGACAAGGAGGAAATGGTCAGTAGAGGGAACCTTTGCAAAGGCAAATGAGAGAGGGGAGCATGGTCCATTTGCAAAACAGTGAGTCCTTACCTAGGATGGGAACATAGCGGCCTGTCGGGAAATGGTGCAAAATCATGCTGAAAAGGCTGCAGGGCCATAGCATGAAGGGTTTGGTTCCATGCTAAGGGTCTTGAACTTTTTCCTTAAGATAGTGAAACATCATTAAAAAGTTTTAAGAATATTTGCATGTAGAGAAATAATTTTGATAGTGGTATAGAGAATGGATGGTAGGGATATCAAGTATTATACCCAGGAGATGATTTGACGGGTTCTTGAAAGATGGTGAAGACCTGGACTGATGTGATAGCTGGGGAGACAGAGGAAAATGAAAGGGCAGGAAAAATATGTTGCATCAGTGAAATGGACAAGATACTGAAGAGCTGGATGGAGCTGGGGTATAGGAAAGGGGAGGAGTCTCTGATGACCCCTAATACCTTCTTTGGAAACTTAATGAATAATAACACCATTCACTGAGACAGGAAACTTCGAAGCAACAATTTGAGATATGGAGCAGATGGCAAATTTAATTTTAATGCATACATTCAAAATATAGATAAGTGATTCACCTTGGACTAGAGGGACCCTTCCTCCTATGAAGTTGGGCAGGAAAAAGGTGAGAACAGGTATAGTTATAAATGATTCTCTAAATATTATTTTAAAATCTACCATCTCCTTCTTAAGAGTCAGTGAGTAACCGTAGCTGGTTTGATCAATTAGGAAAAACTGGTAGCTGATGAATAGAAATAAAACATTAAGTGGCATTGCATTTGTCATTAGTTATTTAAACACCAATAATATGCTTGAACCCTTCATAGCAGAGAGGTTACAGCAAAAACACTGGTTGCGTACTAATTCTGTTTTCATTAAATACTGTCCTGAGAAAAAAAGAGAGCGGCCCTCCCAGGTTCCTTTAGTATGTTTATAATAAGTATCTTTATTACTTGTTACAAAGTCCTTGTTACTTAATTAATGAAATGCTTCTAGTTTATAACACAATTCTCAGAGCCTTGGAACCAGATCTAAAAAGAAGGAAATATATGAAGTCTAAATAATGATCTTACTGGTTTCATATCATGATGCATTAATTCCAAATGCAGGCAAATTCTCCTGGGTTCAGAATCACACTAGGAATTTCAGAATCATCAGCTTCCCACTGATGTTTCTGGCACTTCCACCCTGTTCCCTGCTGGCTTACCACAGGCTGGCCTTTCCCAAGGGGAAAGAAGAAACCGCTTTTCTAAGAAGCGGTTTCTAAGACGAAACCACTTTTCTAAACATGTGCAAAACTTTAAAAATGTTGGTATGAATACAATTATAATCATGGACAGAAATTCAAGTGGTTTTTATTTTATATTGCATTTTGACTCTTTCTCCCACCCAGATAGCCGTATAAAATATGTTTATGTGTGAGAATCTCATCTGATTATTTCTTGAGAACCTGGAGTTTGGTAAAATAAATAAATAAATAAATGTTTAATATTTTTCTAATGCTGGGTCTTCTAGAAAATCCTTAGCTTGTGATGTTCAGGGACATTTACTGGATCATCTTCAATTTACCTACTTTAAATTGAAGATGGTTTTTTAGGGGCCTATTGATTATGACATTCTCAGGCATAAATGAAGATTACCTGGTTGAAAAGTATTTCCCATTTTAGGAAACAATCGTGAGATGAGGTGAGAGACTATGTGAGCTGAATTGCAGGTGCACCGAGGAGAAGTAAATACATAAATGCCTTCATGAGGATTTCCAGTCCCCAAAATCTAAGTTTTCAAACGAAGAATCAAGAAACACCCAAGATATCATCCTGCGTGTAGCCCTCCTCGCTCCATTCCTCTCCAAGATTCTTCTGAAAGACAAAGGGGTTGGCAAGTCAGGGAGATTTCTACCAGGACTGTGGAATCTAGAGAAAGTGGCACAGGCTCTGGGAGTGGATATGTGAAGATTCAAGTCCTAGCTCTACCAAAACTAAATTACCAACTTAAGCAAAATGCTCATCTCTCATCTCTAAGATGGGCTGAGATGGAACAGAATTGGTCAAAGCATCTAACAGAAAACCTATAACCTAACAGGTGCTTGGTAATGACACTCCAGTAGGGAAGGGAAAAAATCCTACCAATGAAATTATGATGTGATGCCTTAATAACGTCCAATGAGTAATGTTTTACTTCAAAATGTCTTTTATCTCTTATCTGAGGGATTTGACAGTTTCTTCTGACTTTAGGGACTTTAGGTGGTGTGTGATAGGTCATTCTTTTCTATCCATTTCAGCAACAAAGTGAAACAAGGATCTACGTTCATGGTGATGTCTTTCTTTCTTAGGTAAAACATTTAATTGTTGCTTTGCAACGCCACATGGAACTGTGGTCAACTCCTCCAATAATGGCTCTTTGGCCCACTAATGTCACATTTCATCTCAATCCTCTGTTTCTGTGCTTGTCTGTGTACATGATAACTATTTTTTCAAAGAAAAATTATATAATGTTTAAAGACCTGCTAAGCATCAATAAACACATGTAGTGTTGACCATTGGCATGACTAACTGAAGTACAAACACAAAGAGCTGGCACCAAGCTTGCATGATATCTAGTCATGGTCATTCCTGGTGGATGACAATTGTAAGCCACATCCTAACTTCAGAACTGTTAAAATATGGGAGAAAAAATGTAAATC